TTTTTTTTTTTAACCTCCGAGCCTATTTTCGACAAGTCGTGGCCAGCACCCGAACTTTTAGGCCGATAAATCTGATCGGCGGCCGTCGTTTCGTTTCGGCCTCCTGAAAGGTCGGAGGCCGAGTATTTTCGAACCGTCGAAGGTACTGGTGCCCTGCCGAGCTACTAGTGAAGGTGTGATACGAGCACCCTCCCGATGTGATACGAGCACCCTCCCGAGTAGCCCAGCGCCCGGTTGCGCCAATCTATATTGGTGGGGAGCTGCACCTGCTGGAAACTGGTTGATGTTGTTTGCTTGATTTGCTGAAGATTTCAAAGTTATTTGAGGTGTAATTTATATTTTGCCTGTCTGAGTGTCTGAGTGTCTGAGTGTCTGATGATTTCTATGCCTGTGAACTAACTCTTTTATTTATTTATTTTTTTTAAGCCCAGGGTGTTGTAGAGGCCAAGGACCCGACCCGCTCTGTTCTCATGCTGTGTTTTCTGTGTCCCTGGAGGGGTAGAACAGCAGGGGTAGGACTGGAGATATAGATAGGTACCAGACAGACATTGCAGAAACGCCAGGACGGACAAGGACATAAGTAGAATTTGGCAAGTACCCGATAGGATGTTTGAGCAACTCGGGTAGGCCTAGGGAAGTCTGGTAGGCTCAGAAAGGTCGGGTAGCTTTCAAAAGGGTGGATGATGGTCTGGTGCCTGTAGGTAGACAGATATCAGGCTAGATACAGGCCTCGGAAGTGAACCGGAGACTACAATGTTCTCGCCAAAAGGCAGGAAACTCTTCCCGTAGGCCTACCTTCTTCCCCCGAATGACAGTGTACGGTCATTATAGCCGTATCTGGGGTGTCTTTCAGTCTAAATACAGTTATAATGACCGTACGTTCTATTCGGGGGAAGAAGGTCGTGTGCACCAGTGGAGGCTGACGTGCCAGGCCAAGGAAAGACTGGAGGCCAGGAGTCGGGAGGATACGGTTCGGTGCAACGAGTAGGCGGACCCATTCAATCAGCAGTCGTGCATCTGCTCCGCCCGGAGGGTGAGTTAGGTGGAGGACTGGGTGGAAGCAGTGGAGCTGAGGATGAAGGAAGAAGACCTTAATGTCTATGGAGTAGTGGTAATTAGATGAGAGTAGAACTAGGCTAAGGAGGTAGAGGGAGAAGAACCTCAAGGTAGGTTGTGAAGAACGGAGGATGAAGAGAGTGGAGGTTGAGAGAGAGGAAGAGTACTTACTCTCAGACATGAGAGACTTACCTCTGAAGGCTATGGTGGACCTTCATCTCCACTTCCCCTTGGTTGGTGCTGCCCTCTGTTGGGGGTACCAGTTTGTCTTGGACTTCATCCGGGAATGTGGCTATGGCAGCCTGAGATGTGCAAGGCAGAGTACTAGTTGTGTCCCCCGGTCAACGTCCATGGTACACATGGATGTCCCACCAAAGCTACCTTCTTCCCCCAAGTACAACATACGGTCATTATACATGTATTTACCACCAAAGCTACCTTCTTCCCCCAAGTACAACATACGGTCATTATACATGTATTTGGGGTATCTTCCGTGAGAGGCACCGCGTAGGTGCTGGGTTCTAATCCCATTGTCGTCACTTTCAGTGGCCTGAGGATGATGTCCAGGGCCAGTCAACGCTGGCTGGTAGCTCGCCGGGGTGAGTTGTGCCGCCGCCCCTGTGACCCGTGGCAATGCGGGAGCGTCAGGCCAGGTGGAAGGTGATTGCTCAGGTTCTGCTGCGGCTGGTCTCCACACACCCAATAAAAGAATTCTCAGGTTCAATTCTCAGTCAGAATCAGGATATAGCTGACATTCATGGCTCTATTAGGATGCCTATCAGGGTGGAGACCCCCAATCTCACCATGGAGACCCCCAATTTCACCATACTTTAAGAGGCGTATACTCTCAACGTACCTGCCATAACAGAAGCTCAATAACCAATAATCATGCGCCATAAAATCTACAATAACTTCCATCATAATCTCCAATTACCTGGGGCCGGTTACCTGTGGATATATCTCAAGGCTGCCACTCTTAAAAACTGAAAAATAAAAAACACAGTAATCGTGACATATAATCTACAATAACTTCTGTCATAATCTCCAATTACGTGGGGCGCATTACCTGTGGATATATCTCAAGCCTGCCACCCATAAAAACTGAAAAATAAAAAACACAGCTTAAGGACCGTACGACGTATTCAGGGGAGGAAGGTACATGTGCAGCCAAGGAGAGAAGAGTGAAGAATGGCGCAGAAGGAGAGCGCAGCGCTTTGAGTGTGCTGGCAGTAAGGGGGATTACTCGGACATGATTCTTTTTCGTTCTTTCATTTATTGCTGTAATTAATCGGACTGTTTGAAGAGGAGAAGGAAGAGAGAGGAAGACGATGTTGGAGAGAAGAGAGGGAGATGGCATTGGTTCAAACTTTGAGTGTTTTTCTTTTTTCTCTTCTGTCCTTCTATGCTCCATTCTGCCCTTTGTCTCTTTCTAGTTCTTCTTGAGGTCAGCAGTCTTTTTTTTTTTCCCCCAGCAGTCTTGCATTGTCTCGAAATCGAGTTTTGAATTCGAAATTGAGCAGGATCATAACAAGGGGGAGGCTCACAGCAGTCGACCCTCCAACTGCTCGAAAGAAGATGCTGTTTCATAGACCCGGACCCGGACGGGAACACAGCCGAATGTCCGGCCAGACTGGCGTCCAGAAAAGTCCGGATTAGAAAAGAATATGTTTTTTTAATTACAGAAGGTTTACAGACAGGGGGTGAATTAGGCCATACCTACCAGCCTGTGCACCTCTCTCTCTCTCTCTCTCTCTCTCTCTCTCTCTCTCTCTCTCTCTCTCTCTCTCTCTCTCTCTCTCTCTCTCTCTCTCT